TGTCAAATAATAACAATTGCTAATGCTTTAAGAGGCAAAAACAGAATCATAAAAAAGCCTACTTTGAAATTTTGCCAAGCTTCTTTGGTAAAAGTTAGGTTTTACTCGCAAATCCTAGGATTTATCAGACTTTTTTGTTATGCACTTGCACTAGATGTTTGTTATTTTTTCACCGCTTTTTGCACATTTTTATTACTAACGCTTCCGCCACATGTTGAAAATAGAATCAAATAATGCAAAAGTATAAAATTTTTCACTTGTACGATGACAAATTTTTTTAAAACAAGCATGCATTTCATAAATAAAATAATAACAGATCGGTTAATTCCAATGAGGTATTTTATTATGTACCTGCAGCTGATGCTAAAATCGGAATTACAATTCAATTAAATTGAAAGTTCACTTAAATTAACATGAAATCTGCATTTGTTACATAATATAATGGCACATTTATATCAATTTGAATGGTAAAATGTATTTTAACGTATAATAAATTCGTAACAAAGGACTTTAGATATTATATTTAAATTGTGAGTTTCCCATTTAAGAATTTAAAAGTTTTGTAAAGATTGTTTTAGATCAAACAAAACATGCAATCTATTTAAGGATTATGATTGAACAAAGAAAGATTTTTTTTTCTCCAGTAGACAATGTTATTACTTGCGATTAATATATTCTCAAACATAGGTATTTAATTACTACACTTAAGTAAAATGTATTTGTACTAGTATAGTGTGAAACATTTCTTTATACTATTATAATTATTAACAGCATTAAGTTTTTATAAATACACATCAAGCAACACTAGTAATAAAATAGGAATCATTAAATGCAATTGAAAGTGTTAAAGATGGGAAGATTTTTGTATCGTGATCTGTGACTGAATAATCTCAAAGCAACTTCCTCGCAAGAAACAAGAAAAAGAATATTACAGATAGGGACCAATCCAGATGATATCACTTGTAGTCACACCCAAGCAAACCACTTTTGGTTTTTCAAAATGGCAAGTTAGTAAGAAGCTATTTGGTGAAAGGAGATAGTAGTAGGCAGGACAGATCATTATATGGAAATATATTTATAAAGATTATTCTCCT